ATATTCCTGTGAGGGACAGTTAGTGCAGTGCACAACACAACACAGCTGTGCTTCTTTGAGGTGTTAACCAAATGACCCAAAGAGTGACTTCAGCATAGGATAGGCTAAAGGGAATATCGTTTCTTTCATTACTCCAATTTTATTGCCAAATCCATTGTTAATGTGGTTACGATCCGTGACACCTACATGTATGAAAAGATGCATTGTTTATACAGTATGCAAGCTTTGTCATTCCGTGATCGACTGCTCATCCTGAAGTAAATTATCCATTCTCACTGTTTTACCTGTGAAATCATCCTGATTCTGTTGGAGGTAACTCTTATCAAAGTTTCAAAACACAATCAAGCACAGGTGGGGCGAAGTGAAAATGGGATGAAGTGGTAGTGGGGCGACATGGTGATCATGGTGATGGGGCAAAGAGGAGATGGGGCGAAGTGGTTATGGGCAAAGAAGCATGGGGTCAAGTGGAAACGCGGCAAAATGACTGACACCCATTTGTAGTCGCTGTGTGAATGGTAACTATCAATTACACTACCAGTTATGAAGGTGCATGATCATACTTTGGTCCCTGGGTCAGATCAGCAGATTGCAAATTTTTTTTCATAGAGATGCTGGTAAGAATTCCATATTTGTACACCACTTGATAGCCTGTGACAATCCTGATTAGGCTTGGAATGTGGTAGGTTTTTTATTACCGCAATATCTGTCACAAAAATACTGCAATATTCACTTCCGTATTTACCCCAAGAACTAATAGGCGGACGTCGGACCCCACAGTTCTGGGGGGATGCAGTATTCTTTGATGTGCGGTATTACATCACCAAAAAGCTCTCATATAACAAACTGGCATTCTCTGGGAATGCTGACAAATACATGTACATGTACTCGCAGCATATGCTCACTTACTGTGCTATGTAGCTGAAAATGAAAAGGCAAATTAGCAAAAAGTGTAAGGTACAGCAGTCAATGACAGTGCGATCGTCGGAAAAATGGGAAATTGGCATGCATGATTGGTGGATTAGCGTAGGTTGGACGTTGTCTTCATTTACGTAGTAGACTAATCAGGTGCTAGTATAGTAGAGTACGGTCATGACGGTCAGGGACTTCACCTGGGCTATAAATTGGTGGATAAAAACTCAAATTAAAAAAAATATAGGCCAAACTTGGCCTAAAAACCACTGTTTCACTGTTTTCAACACTGTACCTTAATGGCATGACAGGAAAATATGAACAAGTGGAATTTGCGTCTCCAGTAATTTACCTCATCGATTAGGGGCTGGACTAGCCCCACTAGTGTGGCACGGACTCTCACTCCCAAACGACCCTGACCAAGCAGGCCTAGGTCCCCCAATGAAGAACTGACAATGACATGACTGAACATGGTGTGACCTACATGTACCTGCTCCCGACTAAGTTATGATCATTTTTGGCCTTACCTTGCTGTCGCTTTTTCGTTTTATCCTCTTACATTTCCCATAGGAACCAATGCCGATGGTACAAATTACTTCGTAGTCACTCAGTTTGGATGGCATCCTGCATGTCCTGCCTTAAGTTAAGTACTATTAGATGTGACACTCACAGTATAACTCAACTGCACAACTCGGAAGAAAGCTACACCGTACGTGTACAAATGCTGCACGCAACCATTCGCACAACAATACGGCACCAGGGCGAATGGTTTTGTTCGAATAATCCTCCAACAACAAAGATTCCCATTGGTTCATTCTGAAGCCAGTGCAACATTTCATTGGCTTAAGAATAAGGTGAAAGGTCATTTAAATCACCAGGATTAGTGGTTGGCGTCCTTTTCATTTGCAACTCCTGCTCACCAGTTGTTCGGCGAGGGCCAGACTTGGAAGTCTTGGACAGATACTATATTTATTTAGCGGGACGTTGGGGGGAATGATAGAAAATAAAATAGGTATGATTCAATACAGAACTGTTATTTATGCATCAGTCTTCTTAAAATCTCTAATTGATTTATGGAAAATTTGATTTCAATTCAGGTTAATGTAAAATACACTTATTTGTAGCTATGTTCTCATTTTTCTAGACCCCTCACAGTCGTATTCGTTCTTCAAATCACCTTGCTCAAAAAAGAAGTGGAATATTCTAAAAATAATTACAACCTTTCGTCTAAATGTAGAGGGCGTACTCATATTAACATGGATGCAATTTTTCATGAAAGGGTAACTTTTTTTGTACCTTTACTTAACTTTAATTTTACTTGAAGATCATTTTCAGGTTTGTGTTTACAAAGTACAATGTTATATAATTCTGATATCCATAATAATTGAGTTTTTGTCCCAAATGTACTTCCCTTTGCCTGTTAGCTGTAGTTCCAGTTGTATACACGCCGAGTGTACATCGATCTTCGGACAACTCGACCGGGATGACCGGTCATGCCGGTGCTACAATTCGACCGTTTACAATTAACAAAGTCGGCCTTTAAGACAACTCGACTGTGCATTACGGAGTGCAGGGCATATAATGCAGATTGCATTTTTTGAGAAATAGGCACATGTTGTACAGAACTGTGGGGTCCGACGTCCATCTTGTTCTTCATGGGAGTGGGGCAGACATCAGCCCCCACAGTCATGACAGTTCTGGGGCCGGTAATCTGGTCCTGGTTACACTGTGACTTGATGGGGTTCATTACCTTTAGCACCCGGTTCCTTTTATAAGGGAACAAATTCTGCTTTTTCGAAGTAACTTATCTAAACAAGTTGTTGTGATGTCCTCTCACATATCAGAAAGAAAAGAGAACAGGGCTTTTGGTTTTTGAGAGAAATGCTTGGGTAAAACGGCAGCGTACATAACTCCTCGAAGGTAGCTGTGAACGACAAATAAGCGAACGTAGTGTGGTGCCTTGACCTGGATGAAGATTTGTTTTGATGAATCCAAAAATCCTGAGTCGGGTAACTGGATGAAATACAAAATAGCGTCAGTTGACTGAGTGGTTGTCTTTTGCCAAACTCAAGTTAGAAATTTGAAGTTTTCTTGCTTAAATACACACTGCAGCACTACTTCTTCCACTGAGCATGCTAGCTGTATCCCTGTAGTTATAGACAATGTAGGGACTGACAAGCTTTCTACTCAACTAATTTCTAAATACGGTATTGAAATCACTTAGGAGGATCACACAAATTTAGTTGTAACCTGACTAAAGCTCCAAACACAATTTCAAAATGTGACGCATGTATCTTTTAGTTTTTGGAATCTTTATTCTCTTGCAGCAAGAGGGATCATTATGCGCACAACACTGCTTGAATTCCCTCTTACAAGGTATGTTTTTTTTTCACTTTCATTTAGGGCTGTGCCAAATAACCGAATATTTGATCGATTATCAAATATTTGAATTTTTTTTCTGAATTTAAATATTCGAATGCAGATTCATGAAAAGAAAGGGAACATTTTCTTTTGTTTTAAATGAGAAAAATTGCACTATGGAGGCTTGTTTTGCACAGATTGAAATGAAAAGTGACAAATCTTTCAATGATTCAAAAAGTAATTTATACTTTAAACAATTTAAAAGGAATAGACATTTTCAACTGGGCAAAAAGTATTGTTCATCTCATAAATCTCGCAGAATCATGGCTGAAGATACTCCTAGATGTGAGAAGCTATTACAGTGATAATAAGGTTCAATTGTGTCAATATTGGAACTGATTCTGGATATGGTTTGTTCATCAAACATCTGCTGGTCGGTACAACCAAATATTCGGATATTCAATCGAACTGAAGGTCGAATATACGAATAGAGAAATATTTGAGTTGACTCAGTCCTACTTTCATTCACAGCATCGTTGTAATTTTTGTTTTGTAGTTTTCTGTATTTGAAGTCAGAACATTTTCGGTGCTAAAAATATTGGTGTTGAACTTTTCGTTTCTTTACTTTCACTTGGAATTGTTAATTAGGAGATATAAAGACTCGTGCATTGAGCACTTGGCTCATGATACAAATAGTTGATTATCAGTGAAGAAACCATACATACTGCAAATGTAATTTATCAATGTTTCATTCATTGATCTCTTTCCAATTGTCATTTTAAGCCAGGTTGTGCTTCCTGCATTTGTACCCTCTTAAATTAGGCATTGACCCTTTTGCAGTAGATCTTTCAAAATCCACCAGGAGGTAAAAGTTAAATTTCCTAATAAAATGAAAGTCCTAAGAATGTGCCATCAAATTGTTGCACAGTGGAGGATTTCGGAGGAATCAGGAAGATCCCTAACAAAAAGGCAGAGACGTTGGAATTACTGCACCCTGGTTCAACCATCAGAATCCAATAGGATCAAACCATGAAGTTTTCCGATCAATCCAATAATATAACAGCATGCTACACAAGGGTCTTTGTCTATTGTAGTGACTTCGAAAATCTAGAATAAATTCTCTTTTGTTAAATTTGTTTGCAATCTGCCTGTATGATTAACCATTCATCTTTTTTGGATGAATACCCAGGGCCGTATTTCAGTGCCGTGGATCTTGCCGATATCGGCCGGGAGCTGGATGAAGCTGAGAGGGCAACCATGGCAGAGGGTGACGTCAACTCTCCAGAGTATCTCCGCTTTCTGCAGGTAAGCTCATAGCCTCCTCGGGGCCCTTACCTCTGTCATCCTTAGAAACTGTTGGTCTACACGAGCGTCAATGGTTTAACAAGAACAGGTTACAGTAGAAAGTACTGACAAAACTACAGCAAAAACATGAAAGGTTTGTAGGTGGACCAACAAGGCCTGGCTCATCACCAGCATCCAACAGCGGCTTTCTCAGTTAGTATGTGAGGCCATGGAAATCTCAAATGCAACACATTATCAAAAGAGGTACCGGTAGGCTGCCACATCAGTGACATATGGTGACTTATGGCTGAATAAGTCTTCTATACCCACCGACTTCAACCAAACCCCCTTTGTCTCCTTCAGAAGGAGAATTTGAGATGCATGCTGGCATTAAATAGTCCCGTATGACTGTTCCACAATTGTTTACGTCACACATGATCAAGTGTTCACACTTAAAATGACAGTAACAGTAGTGTGCATCATTTATAAATGACTAACTGATCATAAACTGGAATGTAAACGTTAGTTTTGCAAGGGGCCAGCCTGTTTGTTTGTTTGTTTGTTTGTTGGGGTGTTTGTTTGTTTGTTTTTGACTGCAGTTGACCTTTCTTACCATTATACTGTTGCATTCACAGCAACCCTCCAGCAATATGGATGACAGTGGCTACTTCTCAGTTCAGGTCATAGGTCGAGCACTCAAAGTCTGGGGTTTGGAGCTTGTCCCATTTGGCAGCACAGAGGCTGTTCAGGCCAATATCCACCCAGAGTAAGTTTTTCTGAGGAACAAGTGGCCTTTTCCAACTCTCAGCTTCATTTACATGGACACGTTTGGTTTCATCTTGAGCTCCATAGTCAGTTCCAGGTATTTTCTGTGTGAAATGGAAATTCTTCAAAACTTTGTTCCACATGAGAAAAATAAATGCTTTCAGGCTTTAACTCAAAGAAGTGTGTAAAAAATTTAAGCCCAAAGTCTCTAAGATGGAGAAGAGGCTGAGAGTTTAAAACTCTTAATACAGGAAAGAAGAGCGAGCTACTTACTTACAGCTGAACATGGAATCAATTTAATCAACCGAAGGCACTGCCTGGGAATTGGCACTACACTATTTGTAGTATAGACGGCGCTGTTTGAAGTGGGTAAATTTGGAACAAACATTTTATGCACACAGGCATGGCAAAAGACAGCCTGTAATGTCATTCAACAAAAATGAAAACCGAGCTATGCCATCGTGCGTGCTTGCAATAGGCCTACACTGACAAAACACAGATGGTCAGCAAAGTTCCACATTGTCTAACCTTGCCAACTGTCTGCATCCACGGTTATGACAGTTGCAGCAAAGTATGTCCACATGATTGCATGTCATCAGGGAACGTTCGCCGATGCCTTTTGTGTCGCTTTGTGTCGTTATGGTAACTAGGCCTTCACTTTATTCACTGTTATTTTCACTGGAATGTATTTATACTGTAGGCGTGAGAAAGCATTTATATGCAACTTCAAAGACCACTGGCTGACCATCAGAAAGCTTGGCCAGCAATGGTTCAACCTGAACTCCTTACTCACGGGTCCAGAGCTCATCTCAGATATGTACCTTGGAATGTTTCTCATACAGCTGCAGAAAGAAGGTTGGGACTCCACAAGCTTATTTTAATACTGTGTCATTACGCATATGTTACATCTTTGATAAACTCTAAGAAATGTGATTTTTAACTACTTAGAAAAAACTCGAGCATGTAGCTCCCAAGAAGCTACCAATGAAGCAAATTTTGATTTTATTTGAAAGAAGAATGGCTTACCAGTGATGTTGATTTTACACTTGATGTAAATTTTTCTCATTGTAACAATTCTGTGTATCTCGGAAAGAGAAATTCTACCTAAGCAATATTAATTTTAAAAAATCGATAAACTAATGTAAATTTCAATGAGAACAATGAAATTTACAGCCTTGGGCTCCCCATTTATGTATATTGCTCTGATAATCTAAGGTGCTTTTTGACACTTCAGGGTATTCCATTTTTGTTGTGAGGGGTCCCCTGCCGGAAAATGAAGCAGATCAGCTACTCAACCTCATCCCCGCTGTCCAGACACACAAACCCCGGCTGTTGACGGACCTGAGTCAGCAACAGCAGCAGCCGAGGAGCACAGGGTCAGGCTCCACCTCGGGGGCGGGCCCCTCAGGAAAGGGGGTGTTCAGTCTGCAGGACCTTCAGACTGCCCTGCAGTCCAATCAGAGATCCCAGCCTGGAGGAGGGGGAGGGGCCGGAAGGTTGGAGGGCCCAAGCAACGTCGCCAGCGACGAGTCTTTAGCCCAAGCTCTGAAAATGAGTATGCAAGGTAGGTGTTTATTATTACCCTGCATCCGTGAGCTTGTTGTCATGGCAACTTGTTTAAACCCTCCAGCATCCTACCACCATACAAAATCCAATGGCACTTCATAATAATGGCTGGGCTCTATATTCCTCAATCCTACAATACCCTTCAAAACCTCCTGTTTCATTGCCAAGGATCTGGAACAACCAGTGCTAATGTCATTTATGTCCCTGTGGTAGCGAAACGAGGGATTCCTTAAAAACCACCAACCTGTGTACTCCTTGAGTGTCATCTGTTGGTTCAACAGAGACCACAGCTGCTCCAAAACATGTGAGCATGCAGACCCCAGCCAGTGGCAGTTGACAGTAGAAATGGTAATATGATGCTGAACAGAAATCTGCAAAAGACCTGATTGATTGGTTGATAGGGCTTCAATTGTTCATACTTGACCATTTGGAAAGAACTAAGGGGGGGCGGCCTCAGTGCAAAGTTTGCCTCTGATTCAGATCAGGAAATGTGATCTTCTTTATTTCTTGAAACACTGTATCTACCATTATATGACAAATATGTGCGTAAGTATGAATGCATTCAAACCGTGCTGCACTGAACCAGTCTGCTTGGCATGAATGGAAGGCCTTCGACCACATGTCACAGTGTGGCGCCATGAACTATTAACCCACCGAGTTTGCCATCAAAGGCCTGTAAACACATGACTGTTAATTGGTCAAAATCATGGAGGTCAATAGGCGGTTTCTTGCATAGGGAATCACCGCATATACTTGGGCGGATACTCCATAGTATACAACTCATTGAGAGGTTTTGAAGAAATACCAAGTGTCAGAGGGTTGGAGGAAACCACACAAATAAGTTTTAGATTAAAGCCCCCACGTAAATGGTAGTCCGGGCAGGATTGGAACCCAGTACACTGTAGTAAAAGGCGAGAAGAATACCATTGTTTTTTTAACGTAAAAATTTTCTTGGGTACAGTGATTTTAGGGTGGGTTACCAAATTTGTTTTTATTTAGACTTTTTTAAGGGAAGTTTGGAAATCTGTCTTCCAGATGTATTATTTGGAATTTTGAGGCTTGGTTGGTTGGTTTTAGGGGAGGGCTGATATGGTATTTTGGGGGGTTTTCTGCATGGATTTACTGTTGCTGATTATTGTTAAGACAGCAGAAGACGTTTTGTTTAGTTCATTTTGCTGCATTTCGTTCAGAAATGGATGAAAGTCCTCCAGAGGAAGTTGATGTAGAGGACCTCAGAAGAAAGAGACAGGCATTTTTTGACAAGTAAGTGTGCCTGGAAACAAATTTGGCCCATT